TCTCCTTTTGCTGCTGCTGCTGCTGGCGCTGCTGCTTGCCGATTGTCTCCTTCTGTGTTGCTGCTTCTCTCTCCTCTCTTCTTCTTGCTGCTGCTGCTGCTTTATTTGCTGCTGCTGTTTTATTTGCTGCTACAGTTAGAGCAGAGACACTTAAAATAGCGAAGTCAAGACAATAGAAAATATAAATAAGCAAATATATATTTATTTATATGTTTATATATTTATACTTATATACTTGTATATTTATATATTTATATATTTATATATTTATATATAAACTCAAACCCTAAACCCTAAATTTTTATTTTTGTTTTTCTTCAGGGGGTTATATTAACTGCTTGGGCGATGTTTGTAAAAGCGCGGTGGTATAGGGTTTACGAACGGTCAGACTAGGGTTTAGGGTTTAGGGTTTAGGGTTTAGGGTTTAGGGTTTAGGGTTTAGCAGCATACGATTTCTTAAATACTCAGCAAGCAGCAGCAACAACAGCAGCAGCATCTACACCAAATGCATGCAGAGCGTTTGCTTCTAAAAGAGAATTATAAAAATATTTAAAAATATGCTGCTGCTGCATTTGCTGCTGCATTTGCTGCTGCATTTGCTGCTGCATTTGATGCTGCATTTGCTGCTGCTACACCTCCTGCCTTTTCTACTGCTGTCTCTGCTGCTGCTGCCTTTTCTACTGCTGTCTTTGCTGCTGCTGCCTTTGCTGCTGCTGCCTTTGCTGCTGCTGTCTTTGCTGCTGCTGTCCTTGCTGCTGCTACACCTGCTGCTGCTACCTTCGGTGTTACAGCTTTTGCTGCTGCTTTTTTGCTTGTGTAGGTTAATATTCGTATTTTTATTGTACATTAATATAAATAAATAAATATAAATATAAATATATATAAATATATATATTATAATAATATTTAAATATATTTAGATTGATATTTCTGCTGCATGTTTCGGGTGTACGTACACCTCAGCATCGCTTGGCGTCGTTTGTACTGGAGAGTTTCTGAGAGCCGTTTGCGAGATTTGCTGCACTTTTTAAAAGCAGTGATCGGCAAAAATTATAAATTAACCCTCGCGAAACTCCTCAACAGAAAACCTTACGGTCAAGCATGCATGCACTCTGCTGCTGCTCCTGCTCCTGCTCCTGCTGTTGGTGCTGCTGCTGTTGCTGTTGTTGCTGCTGTTGTTGCTGCTGTTGCTGTTGGTGCTGCTGCTGTTGCTGCTGTTGTTGCTGCTGTTGTTGCTGCTGTTGTTGCTGCTGTTGCTGCTGCTGTTGCTTCTGTTTTCTGTTCCTGCTGCTGCTGCTGTTTCTATTCCTGTTGTTGCTGCTGCTGCTGCTGTTTCAACTCCTGGTGCTGCTCCTGTTGCTTCTTTTGCTGGTGTTGCTGCTGTTGCTGCTGCTGCTGTTTCTGTTGCTGATGTTACACATTGTGCTTGCTGCTTTTGGTGCTGCTACACCTGCTGCCGTTTGTGCTGTTGCTGCTGATCCTGTTGCCTTTGCTGCTGCTTGTGCTGCTTTTGCTGCTGCTACTGCTGCTGAGGTGTACATGCATATACCTTAATATCTCATTGTCTTTGCTGCGTAACTCGTAAAACGTAGCAGCAAACCCTAAACCCTAAAAGAAGAGGTCTGTGCTGCTGCTGTTGCTGCTGCTGCTGCAGATGCAGCAAACAACGAGGGGTTCTTTTGCTCTGAACTCGTCGCAGGAGCGTGGCGGGTGGGTTGCTGCTGCTGCTGCTTCTGCTGCTTCTGCTGCTGCTGCTGCTGTTATTGCTGCATTTGTCGGTGCTTCTACTGTTTCTGCTGCTGCTGTTTGTGCTGCTGCTAGCTGCATCATATATTTTTGTTTATATTTGTTTGATTATCTCTCTCTATATCCGTTAACGTTTGTTAATTCGTTTATTATTTTGTTTATTTAATTAATTTGTTTTATCTTTCTTTTATTGAGGTGTATGTACACCGCAGGTCTTGGGTATAATACCTGAAGACTCCGTCTGCAGTCGGTACTGGCCAGGTGCTGTTTTAAATTAAATTAAATTAAATTAAATTAATTAAATTAATTAAATTAAATTAAATAATATTCTTTTTATTCATGTCCTCTACTTTGCTGATGCTCCTGGTGCTGCTGCTGTTGCTGCTGCTGCTGGTTGTGCTGTTGGTGTTTTTACAGCAGCAGCTGCTGCTGTTTCTGCTGCTGCTGTTGCTGCTGTTGTTTGTGCTTCTGCTGCAGCGGTTGTTGCTGCTGTAGCTGCTGCGGCTGCTGCTGCTTAGCTGCTGTTTGCTTCTGTTTACTGTCTGTTTCTTACCCTCTGTCTGTATTTATTTTTTGCTTTGTTTCTTCGTCTTTCTTTGTGTTTCCTTGTGTTTATATATATTAATTATTTATTTGTTTATTTTGTTTATATTTATTTAATTGTTGTTTATTTGTTTATTTTGTTTATATTTATTTATTATTTTATCTGTTATTTCTGCTTACTTTTGTTTTATTTTTTTTTATTTATTTTTCT